AATTTACCTGCCCAGCCAAGTTTCTGACCACTCCGCTTAGCTGGACGGGTCACTCAGACCAAGTCAGCAGTTCAAAGGGAGAGGGCTGAGAAAAGCAGCCTGTGGCTTACCTGAGGCAAAAATGGCAGATGACATAGTTGGGACCACAGCCACTGGGCTAGGCGACCACAGGTACTGGACACTCCCCTGTGGAGAACACCTCGTTTGGCATGGGAAAAACAAAAAGAAAATGAAGTCCTTTTAGACTTGTCCTCAAAGAGCTTACAGTCCTGTTCAGGATTTGAGTCTGTATGTGCTGCCAAAATTGTAGTGAATTGTGGGAGGATACCTCACACACTGCTGAGAGGACAGCAGTGGGTGCCAGAAGAGGAACGGGCAAAATCCTGACAGGGTCATCATGCCCTTAACACAGAGTTACGGCCCCAGAGGAGCAATTCTAGCCCTGCAGCTATTTACAATCCAACTGGGGAGGCCGGAGAGCTGAGGGAAAAGTTAAAATATAACATAACGCAGTGTTATGTATGATTACATGTTGAGGGAGTGAAAAAGACAAGAACAACCTGAATTTAGGGGAAAAGAGGGAGAGATTAATGAAGTTTTGACAATGCAGTATGGAGGGCAGTACTGCGAGAGACAGATGTGGTGAAGGAACAGGCCAAAGATGCTTGGGTCAGAGCCTGGCTAGAGGGGATGGCAGACACCTTTGTGTAGGAGTCACCGTCAGAAAGCTATGAAGACGGCAGTTGGTTGGGAGTCTTGGGGGCTAGATAGATAGCTCTAACTTTATTCTCGTGGGCAGTTGTTAAAAGCTTGTGAGCCAGGGAATGACCTCATGAAAAGGGGAGGCCAGAAACGGAGACTGCAGGCAGAGGAAGCAGTCAGGAGGCCCCTACCAGCATTTTGAGATAAGGTCCTGTTGTTGGAGTGGAAAGGAAGGATAGATCTGAGGGACACCAGAAGAAGGAATCAGTAGTTGGATATGGATGGAGAGGGAGGAGGAGCTGATGACTCAGGGAAGTTTTCTGTAGGAAGGAAGTTTGTGGAGGGGAGGATTTGGAAGCAGGCAGTCAACGTCCGGTGGAAAGTCTTTGCAAGTGGAGAGAAAGATTTCTTTATCAGCAGGAGTGTACTCTCAACTGATTATCTTATAAAAACTGTGGAGAGGCCAGCCTGGTGGTATAGTGGTCAAGTTTGTGCACTCTGCTTCAGCGGCCTAGGGTTCGCAGGCTCGAATCCCGGGTACGGACCTAGGCACCACTTATCAAGCCATGCTGTGGCGGCATTCCACATGCAAAGTAGCAGAAGATGGGCACGGATGTTAGCCCAGGGCCAATCTTCCTCAGCAAAAAGAGGAGGATTGTCAATAGATGTTAGCTCAGGGCTAATCTTCCTCACCAAAAATAAAAAAAATAAAAAATAACTGGCTGTTTATTTTTTTTTTTATAATTTTATTTATTTATTTTTTTCCCCCAAAGCCCCAGTAGATAGTTGTATGTCATAGCTGCACATCCTTCTAGTTGCTGCATGTGGGACGCGGCCTCAGCATGGCCGCAGAAGCGGTGCATTGGTGCGCGCCCAGGATCCGAATCCAGGCCGCCAGCAGTGGAGTGCGCGCACTTAACCGCTAAGCCACGGGTCCGACCCAATAACTGGCTGTTTAAAAAACAAAACAGAAACTGTGGAGTTCTCTATGAGAAGGCAGGCAGGAGGTATCGCACTGATTTACAGTGAGGATACAGTACCAGGAGCAAGTTCTGGCTCACACAGGATGGGAGAGTGGAAAAAGCACTCTGACCTAGGATTACAAACCCTGGCTGAATCCCAGGTTTTTTCATGAATTCACTGCAGGTACTTGGACAAAATACTTTAAAACTCACCGGGCCAGTTTCCTTATCTGTAAAATGGGAATATATAATGTATCGTCTATTCTTTCGGTCTCCATGAGACTTCAACCACAGCCATTATTTGTTGAATGCTTTAGTTTGTAATGGGATTTGTGTTAAGAACTTTATTTGCATTTTCTTATTAAATCCTTAGAATGCCCATTCTGTATTAAAAAAAATTCCAAAATTTAGTGGCTTAAAACAATATCCATTTTATTTGCTCACAATGCACATGATCTGAGCTGGGCTAGGCTCTGTGGTCCTATTGGTCTTGATGGTGGTCCCTGATGTGTCTGCAGCCAGCTGGTGGCCTGGCTGGGCACTGGACTTCTCCCTCTCCCCACCTATCTCGGGGCCTCTCCCTCTCCATGTGGTTTCTCCAGTATGGTGGTTGGACTGCTTTCCTAGTGCCTCAGATCTCCCCAAAGTACAAAAGCAGAAGCTTCCACACCTTCTTAGGAGTTGGGTGGGGAACTGCCCCAGCTCCACTGCTGCGTGTTCCTGGTTAAGGCAAGTCAGCAGCCCAGTCCAGATTTAAGTGGAAGGGACTCCATGAGGGTGTGACTAACAGGAGTGTGGTCCATTGAAGGGCAGCAGTGTCACAGACTATCACAATACTATCTCCTGTTTGTAAATGAACAATCTGTGATTTGGGGAGGCTAAGTTAGTTGCCCAATGCAGAGAGTAGAGCTAGGCACTTCAAAGCCTGTGTTCTAAATCACGGGTCAACAGATAAAATCTGTACAGTCTTGTAACCTAGAATCCCATGAGGTGGCTACTGTCATTGTACTGTTATTAATTTACAAAGGAGGAAACCCAGGAACAGAGAGTTTAAGTCTTGCCTCAGGAGACCCCGGCACTTTGCTCCCGAGACTACGCACCTACCCACCACGCTCTGCTGCCTCTACGGGCAGTGCCTGATCCACATGAGGCGCCTGTAAACGTTATTTAATCTGAAGCTATTGTTTGAAGGACTGATGCAAATCTCTTCAAGCATCCACTACCACATCTTATAGGCTGCTTGGAACCGGGGGTTTTCCCTGTGAGTTATCCCATGGTCAGGGCAATTTCCATTTCAGGCATCAACTCCTCTGCCCTCCACGATCTATTTCTCAAAGCTTGACAAGGAATGAAGACGGCATCCTTGCCATCCAGTCCCAGCCCTGATTCTCATTGGCTGATTAGCGCCAGGGCTCCCTCGGCATTTTCTTCTTCTCTTGTAGCAGCCAGGTACTCTCTACAAAGCAGGACCTTCCTTCTTGGGTGAGGACCTTCCTGGACTAGGCTGGCCTCAAGTTTCCATCCTTCAATTATCAAGTCAGCCGTTTCGCCTCTGAATTAGTAACCGTTTGGTCCCAGTCACTCCCTGCAGTTCCACAGCTAATTTCCCCACTGTCGCAACTGTGGTGGCTTCTGACGACAGCTCACAAAGCTGCTCTTTCTCATGGAGTGAGCTGTGGTAGCTTCCCTCTCCCTCTGCTGGTCCTGTGGGCAGAGGACTTGCTGCGTGGGAAACACTGGGTTCCAGTCACCTGAAAGGAGTCCGGCTCTGCCTACTTTGAAGGCGATGCATGTGGCTGTCTTTCTAAGGCAGCCCTGATTTTTCCCAGTCTGTTGACAGTGTAGAAGCAGAGCCTATCCTCAAGTACAGATAACGCGGCGGCCGGGGGGGGGGGCTCACTTTGGTGGGCTCTGCTCTATTTTGGGCAGTGACAGGCACCCAGCCATTCCGGGAGTGGCCCCCTAATACTCCTGTCTTTCCCAAGGCAAAACTATGGGGTGGCCCTTCCGGTAAAGTTTTCTCCTTCAAGGCAACTCCAGATTTTAATTTCGACTTTATTTCACCCTTATAAAGATGTTGAGGCACAATACATGCACTTACTACAATTCTATTTTATTTAACAACCAGGTATGTAGGCGGGCTGGGTGCCGTTCAAAGTGTTTCATATAGACTGCCTCGTTGGACTTACTTCCTAAACTTCTTTTTGAATCAAACGGGGTGGGGTAGGGGCTTTCTGAAGCATGACTTATCTCGTAGCCACTCTCCCTTGTCCCGGGATGGAGGGGGAACAAGGGAAAGAAGGAATCGAGCTGCTCCGGAGGGCAAGGCCACCTCCTACTGCCCGCAGCTGTCTTTCCAGGCTGCAACTAGGGCCAGGGGGTCTCCACCCCTGCCCAGATCCAGCCGGTGGGAGGGTGGGCGGTTTTTTCCGGGTCACTGGCGCACCCTCCCTACTCCCAGCCACCTGCTCAGGCTCCGTCCCGGCTCCAGGCTCTCTGGAGGGCGTCAGGGACATTCCAATCCTCCCACTACCCGCGCGGATGTCGCGGGGGAGGGGGCGCGATTGCTCTCCTTTTCCAGCACCCAGCTTTGACCAGGTTTCTGCTCAATCCCTAGTGACCTGAGTCACCCCGGAGAGGACACTCAGGATTTACGAATGGTTTGAAGGTAGTGTGTTTACAACGCACCGGGTGGCGAAGCCGCATCTCTAGCGACAGAGGCACTTTCTGGGCACCGTCTGCGCTCCAGCAGACAATTGAAAGCCAAACAGCCAAGATGCCTCCTCGCCAGACCAAATATGGTCACAAGCGCTAAGCAGCCTCCCGTGGCAAGGCCGGCCCTGTCGGTGTCTCCCGCGCGCGGCGCACCCGGGCCCGCCCTCGGGCAGAACCGTGGACCAGCGCGGGGCCCCGGGCGCTCCCGGCCTCAGCACCCGGCACCACGGGAGGGCGCGGCGCCCAGAACCGGCCCGTCCTCGCCGAGGCCCCGCCGCCGCGCGCCCTCCGCCGCCCCCAGCCTTGGTTTCGGTCCGCAAGCCCTTGATTAAACAGGCTCAGGCCACTTTCCCTTTGACCCCGCCCCGAGTCCGTGGTAAACCCAAAGGAATGCAGGGCCAGGGCTCCGCGGGAGAGGTCCGTGAGCGCCGGAGCGGGCGGGGGTCTCCCGTCTCCTCCGACCCCGCAAAGCAGCCAGCACGCCCAGGGGGTTCTGCAGCCGGGGTGGGGGCAGGAGGAGGAGGAGGAGGAGGAAGGGGAGGGACGAGCGGGGGCAGGCAGGCCCGGGACTAGGAGGTCATGCATAATTCAACAGCTCAGCTTTCGGCCCGCCTCTTTCCTGGGAGTGGGAGTTTGCTCCAAACTTTGTTTATGGGACAGTCCGGGAGCCGCGGCGGCCGCGCTGTCTGCTTCTCCTCCGCCTCCTTCCCGCGGAGCCCGAGCGCCTGAGGCCGGTCCGGGGGATGTGAGAGCCGAAGCCCCTCGGCTCCCAGGCACCGCGTCGGCTCGGGATTTGCCAGCCGGGCCCCGGCTCCAGTCCTGCAAGCTCGGACGCACCCGAGCTACCCAGGCCCGACGGCGAGTTCGGGCGGGACGCGGCCGCCGCACGCCCAGACTCGGCTTCGCTGCGCGCCCAGGTAGTGCCCGCCGGCCGGCGCGCGCTCCCCCGCGCCTCCCGGGGCGCCCGCTCCTCGGGCCTCCGCAGGCGAGAGGTCGCGGAGCCGGCTCGGGTGGAGGCTTCTTTGGGGGGCAGTCTGCCCTGGAAAGCTGTGACCTGTCCTTTGCCACCAGCAGTTCAGCAACATCCCGAGTGCGGTTACTCCCCCTCCCCCGCCCTTCCTCCTCCTCCTCCTCCTCCTCCTCCCGGTAACTCCTTGGCTTCAAGAAAGTTGCATAATTCTCGAGGCCAGGAGGGACCCCTCCCCCATCCGGCTGCTCTAACTGCTGAGTGTCTGGGATCCCGAAGCGGACACCTATCCATCTCCTCTTTTTGTTTTCTCTCTCGTCTCCCCCTGTCCCCCTGCTTCGACTCGAAGCAAAAGGCTGATCTGACCTCCTTTCTCCTTGCAGAAGATGAATCCGGCCTCGGCGCCCCCGCCGCTCCCGCCGCCCGGGCAGCAAGTGATCCACGTCACGCAGGACCTAGACACGGACCTCGAAGCCCTCTTCAACTCGGTCATGAACCCCAAGCCCAGCTCGTGGCGGAAGAAGATCCTGCCCGAGTCCTTCTTTAAGGAACCTGACTCCGGCTCGCACTCGCGCCAGTCGAGCACCGACTCGTCCGGGGGCCACCCGGGGCCCCGGCTGGCCGGCGGCGCCCAGCACGTCCGCTCGCACTCGTCGCCCGCGTCCCTGCAGCTGGGCACCGGCGCGGGCGCGGCCGCCAGCCCCGCGCAGCAGCACGCGCACCTCCGCCAGCAGTCCTACGACGTGACCGACGAGCTGCCGCTGCCCCCGGGCTGGGAGATGACCTTCACGGCCACTGGCCAGAGGTACTTCCTCAAGTAAGTCAGCCTGGAGCCAGGGGGGCACAGGGTCACGATGCCCAGGGCGCGCGCGCTGGTGCCTGTGCGTGTGCATGTGCATGAGTGAGATGGTGTGTGTCCTTCCAAGGTTCCTTCCCGGAGATCTGGGAGCTGGCAGTAGGAAGTGAGTCCCTGGGTGTTGGAATTGTGAGGGATCAGAAGCCGCGAGTCTGATGAGGTTCTTCCAGGGGACATGGAAACTCTTAGAGGTGGGAGAAAAAAAGTAGTTTCGGGAGGATTCTCATGAACCACATAGGTGACTTTGCCCCGAATCTGGAGTATTGATACAGACTCCTGGGCAAAAAAGCCTTCCCCCCTTCCCTGCCCACTCTGTCAGATACCCCGGAGCCTGGTCCATTGGGATGTGACGCCAAGACAAATGCAAGAAAAGTTCCGAGGCCGGGGGAGGAGAGGGACTCTCGGTAGTGTAGGTGGTTTGCAGGCTCTCCATTCTCGGGAAAAGCGAGCTGGAAAACTGATCCCTGCCTGGTAGGCCTTACTGCTCCCGCTGGGTGACGTAATGACCACATAGCACAGTGATGTAATTAACAACTGCTTGTTGAGGTTGTGGGTTGGGCAAATAATTGTGTGGAAATTGGGCCAGGAGTTGTATTATGTCGCACTTGATAACCTGAAGTACCGTGGAATCAGGAGCCTGCTGGTCATTCTTCTTCCCTTCGCATTGTTCTGGCTTTCGGATGTAACGAATTTTACATTAGATTTGAGTTAGATGGTATAGGAAAATATATTCGCAGAGATAAAGAAAATTGTTTCAATTGTGGTACCTTAAGATAATTATATTGCGGAGGAGAAACCAAGCTGGAACTTGAAATGTGACCAGTGAGGTCACAGGGAGTCAGGCTACCAGTGGCCTAGATGGACATTGTGCCAGCTGGACCACTTGGTTCGGAACTGCCTGCACTGGCTGGCCGTTCACTGCCAGAGAGAGAACTCCTCTTCTAAGAACTTGCCTGAGAGTTTATTTTAAAGCCCATGTTTCTTTGAGAGTAGCCTTAGTTTAGAAGTTACATTAAGACGTTATATGCTATTTTTAAAATAAAATCCAGGCTTTCTTTCTTAGTGTTTGATACTTGGATTGCTCTGAGAGGGCCCTAATGAATACGCAGTGGTGGATCGCATTTATGATAGCCAGCTCTTTGACTCATAGTGGTGACCAGTGATTCCTTCCCCATCCCAAAGCTGTTGACATCTTGTGCAAGGAGGAGTTCTTGATTTTGTCTCTGGGGTTGGTGCAATGCTGAGAAGCGCCTATGCTGAAACAGACTCGATGGTCATTTTATCCCACGACTGGTCTTCTCTCAGTTATTGAGTGATAGTGTGGACACGTACTCAGTGCTTTGACTTCCACATGGCTGGTGGAACTCAAGTGTGTGATGTAATGGTATGACATTTTCCTCAACGTGGTGATATTGTTCTAAAGGATGACAGTTTCTATAGTACATAAAGGTCCAATAGCTATCATCTTGTATTAAGTTCACTTAGGTAAATGCAGTTTTGAATATTTTATTGTGGCTTTTATAGAGATAGACTTAGTAATAAATACAAATAGAAAAAGACCCAGTAATTTACAGTGATTTAGGGGGATCTTTTTTGTCCCAAATGATTTTTGAAGTGTGTTTATGAATATACACACACAAATATATACATTTGATCAGAATACTGTGGTTATTAAAAATTTGAAACAAGAGCTGGACTTGCCGAATATCCAAGGAAAGCTAGGAAAAAAAGACCCCCAAACAAAAAAAATCCCTTTTATACCCATGTTTTGAATGATTGGAATAGCTCAGAACTATGTTCGTGAAACCAGGGCAAAAAAGCAAGTTAGCTTTGGGTTCAGAGAAAGTTGCTCTGAGCTGTTGGCCCATCCCCCAACCACAGCTACTGCCCAGCCTGAAGCAGAGCGCATCTTCATTTCGTGTGGGATCGTGTTGGATCTTCAGTGAAGAGGACAGCTGGACAAACCTGTAGATACTAGGCTAGCCTGATCTGATGCTGTCCCTGGAAATTTTTTGGCCAAGTAGCTAAGGGAATTTAAGAAATGAAGTCATGGTGCCTATTGTCTTGCAAGATAACTAATCGGGTGAGAGTCCTCTGAGTTTCTTTTGGAGCTTCGTTTAAAGCTGGGATAAGGTAATTGTTATGTGTCACACTTTGTTACACAGGCTCACAAGGCAGCGTATTTTGGTGGATTAAGAAGAAGCTTGAAAAATGGTGGCAACTGATCCTGAATTAACTTTCATAGAATCTACCCATTACTTTGCTCCACCGTCTGTGAAATGGGGCCAGTAATAGAATCCTGTTCTTGATTCTGTCAGGAGTTGAGGGCTTTACAAATCAGAAATGAAAGTATTTTATAATTGACAAGTGTCAATTTTTTCTTTTTTGGCTGGAAAACTGAGGCCAGGGAAGGGTGATGACATGAAAGTCATGTGGTTATTTAATGGTGGGCCCTGGATGGAACCTCGAATCTGTTGCCGTCTACTTAAGGAACAGTTTTCCATTGTCACCACTCCCACCTTTATCCCCACGTCACTGCCCCAGCTGAACAATGAGCTTTGTGGGAAACAAAGCCTGGGCATCTAAGAAGCTTTAAAAAGCCTTTGTCATTGTCTCGGGTAAGATTGTTCCTAGGTGTATGAGGTAATCGCTTTCTGGTACCTCTGGAAGGTCACCTTACCGGAGCGTTCACACCTCCGCTGGTGTTCAGGCATTGCTTCAGGGGAACGTGTAATGGAGGAGGGGTCCAATGGTGCAACAGATGGCCGAGGAGAACCACTGCCTCCTTCCTGCTTCCTCCAAAGCTTCTAACTCAGCAGGGGTGTAGGTGTGGGACTCTTAGTAACCTGGCACACCGACTTTGAAGATTGATCACATTAAAATTTAAAAAAATTTCTGGTTATAAATGGAATACGTGTTTCTTGTATATAAACCAGAAAATAGAGAATTGTAAAGAAGAAAATGATCTGGCTTCATTAGAATTTTCCATTTTTGTAGAAAAATTTTATTGGAATAACATGTTCTATGAGAAAAAATATTTTAGCCCCACTCTTAAATGCAATTCCAGTTGTAACATTGACCTGCCTCTCCCAATTTTTAGTAATAATTTAGTGTTTTGCCTTTTCTGAAATGTGTGGTAGAAAATTATTTTTGTCAAAGTGATCTATGCACTTGGTAACAAATCCAACAGTACAGAAGGACTTTTGTCAAAAAACAGCGGTTTCCTTTACTTCGTCAAGGCTCACAGAGGGAACCTTTTAATTTTTTTTTTAACTGTTTCTGTGTTTAACTCTTAGATTGTTACCTCCTTAACCCTATGTAATATGCTTTTACCACTATTTTTTGATTTATCAACTTTTACCTCCTGATATGAAATTGAGAATATAGCTCCTTAAACTGTTTTTTTCTTTGTCTCTCCAATTTGATATTATTTTTAGTTTGTCTGTTAGGCCACCTTTGTGATTTTTTGGTCAACTTGGACAGTATTTCTTGACTCTCCGTTTTGTGAGTCTGGGAGGTTCTGGTGGCTGCTGGTTCTGCAATTCACTTTTTGTCAATAACACCTTAACATTCCAAAGCCCTGAACCTATAACTAACAAAGGTTTTGTGCTTTGCCCCCAAATTGACCTTTTTATTCATAAATTATTCTTCAAGTTGAGAATCTGTAGGCAGCATTTACATTATTACAATTCTACAAATACAGTTCATTGCCTTGTGTATTAAGATTGGATTTTACACTTGCACACTGGGCCTGGTGTCAGGGCTCCTGGGCCAATCAAAGGAGGATACTTCCAGCACCGAAGTCAAACGGATTCTTTTTACTCTCATCGGTTGTTTAAATTTGTGTCACCTTTTAGTTTCTTCATATTTGGGCCTTGACTTTTTTAAACATTTTTTTTCTAGTATTTCTTTTTTTTTTTCTTTTGTGAGGAAGATCAGCCCTGAGCTAACATCCATGCCAGTCCTCCTCTCTTTTTGCTGAGGAAGGCCGGCCCTGAGCTAATATCTATTGCCAGTCCTTCTCCTTTTTTTCCCCAAGGCCCCAGCAGATAGTTGTACGTCTTTCTAGTTGCTGTATGTGGGACTCGGCCTCAGCATGGCCGCACAGGCGGTGCGTCGGTGCGCGCCCGGATCCGATGACCCGGGCCACCAGTAGCGGAGCGCACACACTTAACCTCTAAGCCACGGGGCTGGCCCCATTTTCTAGTATTTCTAATTGCCTTTTTATATGTTTATATATTATTTGCTTTTATTATGATCTCAAAATTTTCTAGGCTCTTAATCCCGTTGGTTCTATCAAGTCTCCTTTCCCTAAGGGTTTATGCCCAGATCCCTTCATCTTTCTGTGCCATTCTGGGTGCTGATTGCTCTCTAGGCCTACAGCAGAGCTGTCATCCTGGGACTTCTCTTGAGTTCTTTCCACAGCTGGAAGTGCTGTTTCTTTTTCCCATATCTTCTTCTTTTTTGGTTTATGCCCTCATTTTGCTGGAGTACATACTTGAGTAACTTCTTAAGAAATGTTTGTGGGAGGTAAATTTTTCAAATCCTTTTCAATTTGAAAATATTTAGTTTAAAAATTGTTTCAAATATATTTAAAAAAAATGACTCTGGCTTGTTTTTTCTATTTACCATTGGATGACAATATAGTGTAGTGGTTTTCGTGAGGAATCTTTCGTCATTCAAAAAATAGTGCCTGCTGCCTCAGTTTCCTCGTCTGTCAACTGAGGATAGTAATAACTATTTTGTAGTATTTTGAAAGGTTAGATGAGATAACATATTTGAAGTATCTAGCACATAGTAGACTTTCAGTACAAGTTCGTTCTTGCCACACACACACACACACACACACACACACACACACACGCTGTCTACCTGGCCAAAGTCAGATACAGAAACCCTGGCAGGAGAAGGGAGAAGTGATTTTGACTCTGGGTTATAGCTATGGCTCTGAGTGACAACCT